GCAGGATGCATCCACGTAGATTAGGAAGATGATCGGGCCAGCTGACGATGAAGAGGTCGCCCGATCATCCAAGATATGATGACATCAGCAGTCGGGAGACTGCTAATTTTTCGGAACCCCCTGCGTATCACAGATGTGATAAGCGCAGATTCGTACCGCGCAGCTTGCCGTATCCCTGAGTAAAAATCCTGCGGAAGTCCCGAAGTACGCACGTGGATAGAAAGGGGTTTTTCTTTCTTTTTGCTTTTGTACTCTTTTTGAAATGGCTTTTTCATTTTTGTTGGTTAATAACTCCCGCGCGGGCGAATAGCGGCCGCGGTATAAAAGGCAAGAAACAGTTTCGGTTGGAACCTTTTTTTTTTTTTTTTTTTTTTTTTTGAATTTTTGCGCACACGTCTGATCTCTGAATTCTTCGTGCGCCTCGCACCCCCGTTTCTTGCTTTGCATCCCCGTGCCATCTTCCTTTCTTCCTGCGCGCATTTCCCTCCAGCTGGACCCTTCGTCTTCCCCTACGCCCAGCTTGATCCTTACCCCGTCTTTCTCTGCGAAGTGATTGGCTGCTTAGTTGGGATGCTTGGATCAATGTGGAAAGCGGGAAACCACGCACCACTTGGACGAACACCCCAATCACGTAGCCATGCAATCCCGCGGATCGAACCCTCTAACTCCCCACCTCTCTCTCCTGTCCTGCTCATCTACACCCTGCGCTGCCCGCACCTCACGCTGTTAACCTGCCGCCTCCCGCGCTATAAATTCGCGCAACCCTTTCCTCTCCCTCTCTTTGATCTTGGTTGCAATGCTGCGCGAGCTATGCGCAAGAGTCCGCGGCGCCGAACAGGCTCGACGAGCCCAAGGACGGGCGGAGTGACGACGTGGGGTGGGCCCCGCGGTAGTCTCGGGGCTAAGCAGTCGGAGGGACTAAGCAGTGGTGGGGATTGGACGCCGGTCGCGGCAGGCCTTGTGGCTATGGTGGTCGGCGGTCTTGGGAAGTTTTGAAGGCTGCGCCTGGGGGCCGCAGCTAATTGAAATTTTTGTGTACAAGAAGGACTCGCTTTTATCTCCATTGCTGCTTTGTCCATGCAGGTCGTGTGTGTGAAGCCCCGAGTGATGGGAGCTGGTTGTGCGCACGAGTGATGTCGAAGGTTCATGGATGATTAGATATCCTGTCAAGGGTTGTTGATTGCATGCATGTATGTGTGTACGTACTCGTCCGGGCGGGGATGGGGAAACTGAACTGGGGGACCGTCTGCTTAGGAGTATGAGTGAGTTGATCCGCTTGTTCCCCTCCCCTCCGCGACCTTTTCTGCGCTCTCGCGCGGTCTCGGCGCA